CTCTTCTTTAAATTTATGCTACCTTTTCTTAATTCGTTTAGAAATAATTTAAGATTTAAACTTCAATAACTTTTTATTGTTGTAAAATGAAAGAAGTTCTGTTATGATCTTTTAGCTTATTTTTTCACTATACACATAAAGTTTAACATTGTTCTTTCTTCTCTCGAAGGGGTAAAATTTAGGGTAGGGTAGGGTAGGGGTGGGGGGGTAAAAGGTTTTCAGCCTCAAGAATTGGAAGATCAAATACAAACTTTTAATTTCTCAATGCATGTATGCTGGTTAATTCATAATACTACATAACTGATTTCAGAGACTTTAATACGGCAGCGAAAAAAGGATAAACCACCAAATCATAGAAGGTTATTCTATAGATAATTGCAAGCAGAGAAAAAATTATAATAAATAAACAAATTGATGACCAAGAAATTTACAGCATCGCGTACCATTGGGAGGACCACTTGCCAACTAGGTCGGATTGGAGAAGCCGCCGTCACTTGGGAGTCAATCAAATATCTACTTGAGATTTTTTTTGCTGAGGAATTCGTAAAATAGATTAGAAAGTAAAAGAAAATATAAGGAAAAAAAATGCTAAAATCTTGTCCGATGTAGTGACACGAACTCTTTCTTGATTCTATGGGTAGTGTTGCATGTCCTTACTTAATTCGTAGAGCAATTTGTCTAGTTAATTCGATTAATGAACAAGACATCTGCCATTCGAGTATAATACTGAGTATCAAACACAAACTAATTATTTGGCAGTTTCTATTTGTTGCAAGAGATTCCAAGTCCTACTCAACAATTACCATTATGGTAAATCCATGTACTTAATACCGAAAGTGGTGTTACAATTAGAGCATGCAGCATCAACTTGGACAGCTAAAAAGAGTTGCACAAATATGATGCCAATTTTGATGTTAAAACTAATACTTTGGAGGACAATATAAAGCACACTTCTTTGGATCCTCCATTCAATTTGTTTCTTTCAATAAACCCTCATTGTAAATAAAAAAAACAAAACAAAACAAACAAAGAAAAAAAAGAATCCCATTAACAATGGCAGAAAAGGAAGGAGGCATTGTGAAAAAGGGACATGAAGAAGGGCTGAAAATGGCAATTTCAATTCTTGAAGAATTTGAACTGCCACTGGGGCTTCTCCCATTGGCTGAAGTTATAGAAGTTGGTTTTGTGAGGAGCACAGGATACATGTGGATTCTGCAAAAAAAGAAAGTTGAACACAATTTCAAGATGATTGGCAAGCTTGTGAGTTATAACACAGAAATTACCGTGTTCGTCGAGAAGCATAGGATCAAGAAAGTCAGAGGATTGAAGGCTAAGGAGCTTATGCTGTGGCCACCGGTGAGTGAAATAACACTGGATAATCCATCCACTGGAAAAGTTCACTTCAAGAGCCTCGCAGGAATCCAGAAAACTTTCCCCGACAAGGCATTTGCTGCTGAACAGTACGGTTAAAAGTTACTTCTAAGAATCATATCAAGTTTAGCTATGCTTAAAGTAGCTTGAATAGCATGCTCTAAGTCTTATCTTTTGCTATCCATGAAATCAATTACTTCATGGATTTTTACCTTCTTGATTTGATGTTTTTCTGTATGACATGCTTCTTCCTATAATTGCCTCTTTTGATGAAATGATCTAAATTCAGTAGAAAATACTACAAGCATACATTTATATCAGAAGATTTTAATTTCTTTTTCTTCTTTAATATTGTCGAGATTTGTTCAATCCTTACTACCAAACATGCCATAACAGCATTATTTCCCGCTGATCAGGATAACATTACAATCTAACTGAAAAAAAAAAATAATAATAATAATAAATAGGACAATCACCGACCATAAATGGAGGCATGAATGGACGCTAAAATTGACTTGACGAAATCTGTAAATTAACAGAATTCAAAGCCATGTAATCCTTGAGGGGATCTACATTCAGTCACAAGGATTTTACAAAATCTAGAATAGCAAACTAGAAAATGCCTGAAAATAAATATCTCATTTGGCAAATTTATAGTAGCGAGTCCCACAAAATGTGTGGATAATAATTAGTAATTTTGACTTTTAACTCTGTTTATAAACCAATTATAAATTGGATTCAAACGGAGGGTAAAAGATTTCAAGCGTCATAATTTTTTTTTCAAATGACATGGCTACTGGGCAGATTGGACATGATCATATCAGAAAAACTTCCATCATTCATCTATATTGCATCATCTAAGGATACATCATTGTTGGATTTCTCTTCATCTTTATGAGATGAAAACTCAACTACGGCACTCATCTAAACGACTTTTATGCAGCTGAAATGCAGGATTGATCCATGCCCCACAATTGCACTGCATGCCTGCCCAGTTGAAGGAACCCAGTCGAGCTTTGCAACCAATGCACTGAAGCTTGTCTTCTATGCATCCTTCTTCAACTGCAAATTGTCCATACAAGATACGTAAGGTTTTTGAGCATGCTTGCTTAGCTTAAAAAGTATATAATGATTTCTTTTAATGGTAAAATATCTATTTATTTTGACAGTGAGGTATGAGTTACCATCAAAGTGAACCATGATAGTTCGGGCTTTGACTAACCTACTTGCATCCACTTCATCGGCTCCACAAAAATAGATGAGCATTCAGGTGGGTCATCTAATTCATCACTTCTCTTTTTCCATTTGAAGCACTTCTGTCCCTCTCCACGTTTATGGGGAACAATGTGCTCCTCTGAAGCAACAATCCTACGACATTTCTTGCAGCGGTATACAACTTGAGGTCTTTGATCAGATCCAGAATCAGTGTTGGAGGGTTCGACTTCCATAGAGGTTCCAATTCAATTCTCCAATCTAACAGAAAATAAAAACATTTAGAAAAAGAAAAGGATAGAAATATTTCAAAGCCTTCATCATGGTATCTTAGACAATTAAGAACTCTAAAAATTCTTAAAATACACAAACAGAGACAAGGAAAAACGGACAGAATGATAAATTTGGGGTCGACGACATCTATCGATCGAAAACCAAACCAAATATAAAATTCCAGTTGAAACAAGCTTATAAATTCTTAATTAAAAAAATCACGCAAAAATAAACAATACCAATATTCAACGCTTTCTAATTTCCAAATCCCGAGCAATTGAAAAAAAAAACATATGCTGAAATTTCGTGTGTGTGTACATACACATAATTATTTATCATTTCAAGAAGAGAAATAGATTAGAAGACTTACCAATCACCGTTGAATTGGATAAGCAAATCTAATTTAATTCACTCAGTGAAGTGGTCACTCACTCCTCGTTCAAGAACCCTAAATATGTAGAATCTATTCAAACGGTGTCGTAGTGGTTGGAAAAAGGTGATGTTTACGTTGGGCCGATCGGGTCAGGTCCTACCTGATCACTTCGCACTAACTCATTAGAAAATGGACCAGTGTAAAGTCCAGTTACACAATGTAATCTCAACATACACAGGTGTTACAGTACTCTTATTGGGCCTTAATTTATCTCTACTCTCTTAAAAGAGAGGATCCTACATTCACTATTTATTCATGAGTTACCTCTCACATATCACTGTTTCATGTGAGACAAAACTTCCACTTTTCATTGACGATGTTATTCTCTTTCCCATTTGGTCAAATTGCATGCTGATTTTATAAAAAATCTCATTTAAGTAACCGTTTCTTCTCTCTTATTCGCACACCCATTTCTCGTCTATGACATTTTCTCTCTCTTCCATTGCCTCTTCACTCCATTTTTCACGCAACCATGTCTGTTTACTTTGCTTCCTTCACACAACCCTAGAGTTCTCCTTTCTCTTCCCTCTTTTCTTTTTTTTTTTCTTCTCACCATTGGTATAGTGATGATTATTGGTTTATTATTATTTGGTTATCTTACTTTAATCGAAGGTTTTAGCTATCGATTCAATATCAATCATTCATGTGTAATTCTAATGTAAATTCGTTTTTTAATAGTGAGTACATGGTGGGAGGTGCTCCAGCTTCTGGAGCTATCGAAATTTTGTCGTCTTGAGGAACTGTAATGAAAAGTTTGATATCTTTAGTGACAGTAATGGAAAGTTTGATATCTTTGGTAAACAGACGAGGAGAACTTGTATTGTACTCGAGATAATGGAGAAGATAACAAGTTGCCTACTTTTTGGAATGCGTTGCCATCTATAACTATCGTCAGATTTGAGAATTTCATTAATTTTTTAGTTAGTTTTTATAAGTCGATCTAAGTTTGCAGTTTAGTTTCACTTGTGACATTGATCCTATAGCATAAGATATTAAAACAGTTTGTCAGTGTGATATTAAGGGTTTGTTTGAGCCCATTATTTGGAAAAATAAATTTATGTGCAAGAAATTATGATTCCAATAAGAAGATAATGGTATAATAAGAGGAAGTTCTTACTGTTCACTTCCACATGTTCTCCATTCGGAAACAAAATACATAAGAGCTAATTCATTAGTAATGAAAAGAAATTCATGAACTTCCATCTTTAATTTTTCGAATTATTTCATTTATATTAAAAATAAGATTTAGGTGTCGAAACATGTTACTTAACATTCATAAGCATTTTCATTAAATGAACATTTAAATTACCACTATATGATCTGAATCTCTTAACTTTGCAAGAACGATTCAGGATGGTACTGTAGCACAGACGCGCATCGTGCCTTCTTCCTCTTTTCTCCGCGGTGCGCTGAATGGATGGACGCCTTCTTCATATTTTCTCTGAGGTGCGCAGAGACATGGATCTTCATGTAGCGCAGAAACACTATGCAGAGCATGTCTCCGCGTGCGTGGCGCTGCGCGGAGATCAGATCCACCGTGCTGCACGGATGCTTCTCTTCGCAAAGCGTCATTTGTCTGTTATATTTGACACACACAGAGAACATCAGATAAAGATTTCATTCATTCATCAGCATGGTTGAAAACTTTTATGTCGTGAAAAGGTTGGATATTTGTTATTTGTATCCTCCACATAACCGAAATTTACAGTATATATCGCAGCTCTAGCTGAACTATTTGTAGGCATGGTCTTAGTGCGTGTAATGCTGCGGTTGTAGTTAAAGCTATTTCTAGATTTTGATGAAATTCGAATGAGATTTTAAGCTCATAGTTGACTGGTAATTTAATCATATTTGATATATTACATTGTGTTATAAAGAGAATGTAAAACCAATTTTTTCTTCAAAATGAGAATATAAATCTAATTGATGTAAGATAAGGGATTCTTTCTTATATTTATTGTGTCCTTCGCAGCATTTTGTCTTGCATATCTCCAGTTTTTGAAAAGAATTGTACCCATGTTCTTTGGATTCCGTTGCTAAAATTTTTGTACATCTGTCTTGGATATTTTGAGTTGTTTCTAGCTCGTCACGCCTTGCATTCTTATTATAATGATAACCTTGGTGATCTTTCTCAAAAAAGTTCGTAAATCTTCTTGACAACTAGTCAAATACTCTTTTGTAATTAGGAGGTTTCTTTAGAAAGTGGATCAGATATGGATGTACTCATCTTTAGAGTTTGATTATAATTAACTCCTAACTAAACAACCGCACGAAATTTTGTGAAGGGATATGAGCGATAAGACTATGTTAAAAAAGAAAGATAAATGCGATAAACACTTAATAGATTAATTTTCTGTTGGACGTATTATAAAAAATGAGCATGGGAAAAACAAACTCGACAAACATGCCAGTACCTCAATTGTGCCATCTTTATCAACACATGTTTCAAAGAGTATTTCAACCCTTTTATCCTTTTATTTAATCTTTTGTAACTAAGAGGCTTTCTTTAGATACATAAATCTATTGGCGTACTCATTTAAAGCTTGATTATAATTAACTCTTAACAAGTGCACGAACTTTGGAAGGGATACGAGCAATAAGCCTAGGTTTAAAAAGAAATATAAATGCAATTAATACCTAATAGATTAATTTCCCTTGAACGTATCTAAAAAGGAAACATAAGGAAAGCAGGTTAGACAAACATGCCTATTCAACTGTCGTGCTAGCTTTAAAATACATACTTCAAAGAGTATTTCTACAGTTTTATCCTTGTTAATCTTTTGTAAATAGGGTGTGACGAGTGAAACGGATGTGGGCCTACTCATCTTTAAAGTTTGATTGTAATTAACTCATAATTCAACAAGTGTGTGAACATTTGGAAAGACCTTGAGCGTTAAAGGAAAGGAAGATAAAATGCCATAAATATGTAATAGACTAATGTTCTTTGGAAGCATTATATATAAAAAGGATCCTAAAAAAGTAGACCTGTCAAACATGTCAGTTCACTGGTTGTGCTATCTTAAAATACATGTATAATCGTTTTATCCTTTTAATCTTTTGTGATTATGGATGTTTTTTTAGACAAATTAATCATTTGGGCGTATTCATTTTAAAATCCTGATTGTACTCGACTCTTAACTTACCAAGCGTACGAACTTCCGGGAAGGAATTTGAACGTCAA